CGGGGCGGGGGTCGTTATACCGCCCGGCTACTTCTCTGTGCCTTGGCAATCGCCCGTTTCCTCCCGTCTACGGCTGTTTCCGGGGGTTGATGAGTGGTGGGAAGAGAGCTGGGCCACCTCTCGGGAGGTGGTCCACAGAACTGGGCACCTCACGGGCTGCAGTGTGGCCGGCAAGAGGAGGCCCTCCAGCCCCAAGCATGTATCCAGCTCGACTCTGAGTCCAGCTGTGGGCAGTTCCTCAGGGATGCAGCGTAACGACGTCACTGCTGAAAAGACCCTCTCAGACAGTCAGCAAAGACCGTGAAAGGAAAGGTGTGCGGCTTCCGGACACTAAGGACCCAACTATGTTCCCTGTTACAAAGTCTGGGCGTCTGCACCCCGCCTGCAGCCCAGGGTGGGCGGGTGGGGCACACGGAGCCTCGGTCCTAGGGGCCTGCCCAGCGGCTCACCTCCGTGTGCGGCCAGGAGCCCACCAAAACCCCCTGGCTGACCACAGCCACATCACAGGACACGCGCTCAGTGGGAACCCTTGTGATGCTCCTTGTGTCAATAAGCTAACCTACAAGGACGGGTCTCCTCCTGCACAGGAATAATTCAGCCTTAAGAAACAAGTTTAAGTTTCACACTTCAAAGCGAGTCCCTCCGAACTTACCAAGCCAATGCATTTCTTCAGTATACTCCACACGCTGAAATCACTTCTGGTGAACATCGGGGCAGGCAGCGCCGTCCTGTGGAGGAGTAACCAGAGTAACACGTTTACTCATCCAGCGTGAGGTTCACTTGTGATGACTGGTTTTGCTCAATGACCATCTTTTCCTTTAATTTTTATATCTAAGCGTTAGCGCTTCTCTGCGCTGGCGTGCCCGGGAAGAGAAGAGACAGACTGCTGCTGCAGCCTCAAAGAGGGTTTCTGCACTGATGTTCTGGAGGGCCTTCTGGGAAACGATCCGACCACACAGACGCCTTTCCTCCGGTGACCCCGCGGCAGCAGCAGGACCACGGACAGAGGCAGGGCCACGAGGACACCAAGAGGGAATCACATCAAGACGACCCAGGACACTGGCTCTCAAGCCCCTTTGAGACACACACCGGTTTTCCCTGAGGTGTGCTCCTTCTTAGGGCTCTTTCCACGACACCAGGGAAGCCCCGGCACCAGGAGGCCCTGCTCACAGCCACCGGGATCGGGGGCCCACGTAGGAGGGAGGCAGCGAGGATGCCTGGGGGATGCGGCCGGGCCCACGCACACTGAGGACGGAGGCTGCAGGCACCAGAGACGCCACAGCTCCCCTGCGTGGCCCAGCCTGGCACCGGCTGCATCCCCTCAGGTGGCGCCTGCAGCTGCAGCAGAGGGCCCGGCTCTGACACTGGTCTTCAGGGTCACTCGATGGCAGCCCAAGTCCCCCCGGGGTTCACACTGGGGCAGCCATCTGTTTTGGGGGCAGGTGGGAGAGGAAGACAAGGCAGCTGGAGACGAAATGGGAAAGAAAACCAACATTCACTGGGCAGGATGTGCCAGGCTGCCAGCCACCAGCACGCGGCTCCACTGGGCCAGCTCTCACGGGGCACCCCAAGCGGCCACAGCAGGGCAGACCCCACAGCGCGAGGGGGCCATGAGGAGTGGATGTGGCTCCATGGAGGGGAAAGGGCCCTAAGGATGAACTGTGTGCACACAGGGGTGGGCAGGAGCTAAAGAGACGGAGAAGGAGGAGGGGACTTGGGCAAAGGGTGCAGAGCAGAAGGTGGGACCAGAGCCCACGGGGAGGGGCCACCCCTCATCCCAGGAGAACCTTACAGTTCACTGCCCAAACCCAGACTTCTGAGAGGAGGCAGAGCTGCGCAGCTGAGTTTTGAGCAAGGGGCAAAGGCGGCATGATCAGATTCGTCCTGAGACGGTGACTCTGCCCACGGCACGAAGGCCAGAGGACAGTGGCAGGGAGCAGTCAGGTACAGGAGGCACAGGAGGAACGGCAGTGGCACGGACTGGGCTGGGACAGAGTCACTGAGCGCTAAAGGCAGCAGGATGCATCTGAAGAGGCCGGCATGTCAAGCGGGGATGGGGGTGGGGGAGGAGGCAGCACCCGGTCTGGCTCATGAGCCCGATTCCTGGGGCGCAGGGCAGGATGACAGCGGAGGCCCGGGCCACATAAGCAGGCAGAAGGTGCTGCAACAACTCCGAGCACGAGGGAGCACCTGAGGCCCCAGGCGGAGACAGCAAGCGGGCCCTGGATCTCAGTGCAGGGCAGGGGTCTGGGGGGACGCTGGGCTCCCTGGAGCCGAAACGCAAACAGCCTGGGTGGACGGAGGCTCCGCCCGACGGACGGCCTGTCCTGCCTGAGTCCTCCCTTCTGCTGGCAAAGGCCGAGGGCCCTGCTGTGAGGCCTGTGGCACGAAAATGGCATCTGGCGGGAAGAGAACGGAACGTGGTCTCACTGCACTAAACGGCCCTCCGACCCCCACAGGGTGCGAGGCCACACGTGGGAAGAGAACACAGGTAGGTGTGCACAGAGCCAGCAGGAGGGTCTGGGAGCAGGTGACCGCGGGCTGCGTACCAGGCCCCGTGTGGATGCAGGGCACCCAAGCGTTCAGTGCCCAGGGCTCCGCCAGCATCTACGGGGGTCGTAGGTGAGGAAGTGCTGTCACTGGTCTCCAGGGGCCACACGGGGGCCGCGGGTCCCAGAATGTCTGGCTGAACTGGGCCCTGATCTGTGCAGGGGCCGCCCAGTGACGGGCGGGCGGCTATCTGACTCCGGGCCCATGAGGGCGGCGTGGACGCCACAGCACATTTGGGGCGAGTGCAGACGCTCGCGGGATGACGTACCTGTGCTTCCGAACCCCATTCTCCTGAGAAGGCCTCTCCCCGGCCTTCCCGAGCCCGTTGCTTTTGCTGGTGTCCACGTGAACCACTCCACTAGCTCTCGGATTCGCCTCTGAAAATTCCCCGGAAGAGTTATCAGAATCAAAGCCTGTGCGAGACAAGCAGAGGGTGACTCCTGCAGGACTTGAACGTGTAAAGCCTGCTTCTAAGAACCCGACCACACCGCCAACCCCTCAGGCGTCACACTGTCTTTACGGACGCGCTCAGTCATCAACTCCGCCTCCCAGGAGCTGAAGGCGGAGGCCGAGATGGCAGGACCCCTTGAAGGAGCTTCCCAAGAGAGGCACCCAGTCTGCACGGCCGCCAAGTGTTCCAGGAGCCTCACCTGCCGGGGCAGGTGGCCCACAGCTCAGCCCCTGGGCAGGAGAGCACAGCTTTTCACCGCTGTGGTCAGTGACCCGCACGCCATGGGGCGGGCCACCTCTGCAGGGTCCAAACCTAACTCCTGGCTGCAAGGCCCTCCTCCTCAGCACAGGGCCTGCGGTCACACTGCATCAGGTCCTAAAACACAAGCCACTGCTGCAGCTTCTAACCGAGCACCCGGCCCCCCCGCAAACATGGCCAGACCCAAGCAGACCAACGAACGGTAACCGAGCGTAAACGGGTGGTTTGAGCTGAGAGAGCTCTGGGTGCAAATGGAAAACTGAGAGAAATGAACTGATGGGACTCATGTTTAACAGTCGTGGGGCCTCCAGGCCAGCACAGTCCCAGATGAGCCACACCCCCCACACCCCTTGTCCGCCAGGAGGGCCTCCCCCCAAGCACCCGGCGGCTCCAGGGAAAAGGAAGCCGTGTCCCCTCCACCCACCCCGGCCCGTACAATTGCCCGGACACTCAAGTTCTGCTCCCAAGCGCCCGCCGGGGCGGGGCTCCTGGCGGCTTCGCAAGGAGGCCCTCATTTCACAGAGAGGAAGGCCAGGCCCAGGAGGGTGACTGTCGTCAGACACAAAGCGTAAACAAACCTGTCGCTAATAAACTTCCCTGAGAAAACGCAAGAATACCTTCTTTCACATATTCTCTACTGACAAGATTCACAAAACTCACGTACTGAGATCTGTCACACAATAACTCTGAAAGGAGGCCTTAAAGATGAATCTCTTCACTGATGAACGCTTTCTGAAACAGCTGCCACCTCTGGTCTTGCTACCTAGCCAAAAAGCGACAACTGCTAACCCTGTCGAAGCGAGCCCGGGCCGTCTCCGGCCTGAGGGAGCTCCGTCCTCCGGCCCCGCACGCCGCCCCGCACTGGCGTCCCCGTCCCCCACACCGGCTTGGGGCCGACCCCCCAGGACGTTGTTAAGAAGAAAGTTCATTTACATCACAACCCCAGCGTGTGCCCAGGACACAAGGCAGCGCCTCCCCGACAAGCGCGTTGAAGTCTTGTCTCTGACGAAGCCAACGCTCCGGGACAGTCTAAAAGTCTTGATACACAACGTGTACTTACCACAGAAAAAGAGAGACCACAGACAAGCCACGGAGAGACTTGGCACCATCTGTGATCTGATCACTAGGAGACCCGCTGCTGACAGGTCAGTCTGAACTTCTATCTCCCTTAATCTGGACGTATTTTTCCTGTACTTTAAAACTTGGTTCTTGGAGGATAATTGCCTACTGAAGCCACTCATTTAATAACTGCAGGATTTACACACTTTCTCACAGTATTAGACACAAAGTGTCAGTACTAGTCACAGAGCAAGATCAAGTCCACAGACAACGAAGCCAGGGGCTCTGCACCTCACACCGGTGTCCCACTGCACTGGGAGACTGAGTGTTTTTCGTCTATTGTTTGTTTTGAAACCAAAGGACTGAGGTGAGAAATATTTTCGCCGAGACAATTTCAGGAGACAAATTATTTTCACCTCCATCTCGGACACACGGGGGCCCTGCCGTGGGAGAGGCAGGGGTGGAGCTCACTGACACACCGCACGACAGGTGCTCAGGTCCCCCCGGGGACCACCTCGGGAAGGAGTTCAGAGATGTTCAGGAGTATGGCTTACACTGGCTCCCGGGTGAAAGGGAACTGCCCCAGGGCCCCTAGGAGAGAGGGACACGCTGCGGCCGGGCTAGCTCGGTCTCAGACGTGGGCGCCCCACAAGGTGCCTTCCCAGACAAGCACCCCACCCGGCGGGAACTCAGCTGCAGACGATTACCGGTGAGTGTGCAGGTCAAACAAACACGCTTCCCAGGAAAACACACCCACAAGGAGCACGTCAGCTGTGAAGTCACGAGAGGTGACTTACTAGCTCAGCCTCTGAAAACAGTGGGGAGCCCAGTGCCTGCTCCTCCTGGGGTTTCAGACAAGAATAAGTCAGCATCTTCGGCTGCCAGTCCAGTGACCTGCTCCGACCCTTCGATCAGGAGAGGCATGCCTGACAGATGACACAGGACCCGGAGCTCGGGGACCAGGATCCACGAGACAGGCGTCCCAGCAGGGACAGCAGAGTGTCCAGGGAACAGGGACAGGGACCAGGAAAGAGCCTTCTGTTGTGCTGGGCACCAAGCCATTTTGGCAATAAGTGCGGACGTGCCTGTGTGCCTGCACGTGGAAAGAAGGTCACTAGACACCTGGTGGCAGCAGCATCTCAGAGCTGGTGCACCTGCGCCCGACCCCAAGGAGGGAGGGGCTCAGAGTCTCCTGAGGTCCCCTCCCACCAAGAGCAGCCCCTCAACAGAAGAGGCAAAGTGATGCTCCTATGCTGACGAGGGAGGATGCGGGGCAGACAATGGGTGGCCGTCTTGAACGTAAGAGTTTGGGGATCCCTGTGGTCACTTGCCCCGCAGGCTGGTTCACGGCTTCTCCCTGGTGACGGGAGTGGGAGGGGCGAGCGGGCTATCCTAAGCCAAAGTCAACGGACCCACCCAGCCTCTCCCTTCCCTGCTGGCCCTGCCACCCACACGCAAGCAGAACGCCCACTCCGCCACGCTCTCTTCTCCACCAGGCTCCACACCAGCACTTCACGTGGTGTGTGAAAAGCAAAGCAGAACTGAACTTTGAGACAGCATGAACTGCTGTAAAAGCAGATCAATTTACTGTCTGGGGGGTACTTTACTCTTTTGGTGTACTTTGGTATACGCTAATAAAGTAGCTACTTGCAAAACAAGATACAGTTATAAGACAGGAAAACAAGTTTTTGATCATTAAGTATAAATAATGTAAGAATGCTGACCATCTCACTTGGGAACCAAATAAAAATATTTATATCCCAGGGCAACTCTTTTAAAGATTAAAACACAATTGTTCTCTCGTTATCTCCTGTGGTCCAAAGTTGAGGTTTTTTTCCCCCAATCTGCGATAGGGCACAAGCTTTTACTAAAACGCGGTGCCTGGGAACACGTCCCCTCTTGTCCACACGGCTTCCCTGCGCACTCCTCACGTCCGCAGGCTAAGTCTCAGGCCCCAAACGGAGGGCCTGGCGCTCACGACTCGCTCTCTGAACCAGCATCTCTCTCCACTCACCTGTGACGGCGTCAAAGAATTCCTCCTCACCGTTCATCCTTCAGCAGCCAGGCTCCCCCGCCGCCTGATCCGTGGGCGTCTACTGAATCATTGTACTGGACCTACGTCAATAGTACGAGAAACGTCGCGCTATTTTGAGGGTAAAAATCCGATGGGCACTGGAGACCTATGAGAGGAAAGACATTCTGGTGTAATTAACTTTCAGAAGTTTTACAGATTAGAAATATTTAAAAATACTCATTCACCATTTCTGAAGTCAATCTCGATTACACCCGAGCAAAGAGGTGAAATGAATGCTCTCCTATGAGAGGAAACAGGCGCGATATTTGTGTCCATCAGCGAGCAGCGGTCAACACACCACCGTCGTCTAAAGGGCCACTGTCCACAGCGGAACAAAACGACGGTACGACCCATCTGGGGAGTCGCATGGGTGGCTCAAGAGGCGGCTGAGCCACAGGGCGGCGTCCACACGCCGGGGCCCCCGCACTCCTCAGGAGCTTTTGCTGAAGGTCACTTGAAGGTCACTGCAAATCTACCAGAAGCTGGAACAAGTGGTTACTAATAAATGCAAATTTATGTTAAAACACTTATTTCACATAGACCTTAAACCAATTTTCAACCCTAGAGAATTAGGACCGCTGTGTAAGTTAGCTGTTACAGCATAAACTGTAATCAACTCAAATTTTCTCAAAATTATTTTAGCTCAGTATTTTAGTAGAACTCATGCATAGGAACTCCTCCCACCACGAAGAGCAATAGTTCAGAAATGGCAAGAGATTGAAGCAACAGGTCACCTTGTCCCAAAAGGTCTTTTTATGATATTTAATTGTGTGAGCGACGTATCAAGGGGGCCAGAGCTCTCCACGCCCTTCGGAGGGCAGTGAGGAGCAGGCGGCCCCGAGGGGCATGTGCCCTGTCCTCGGAGTGGCCGCATGGTGCTCGGTGACGCCTGCACATCGCTGTCTCTGGGCTCCGTCCTGAGCACGTGGCCCCGTCTCCATCACACGACAACTGGCACTCAGTGACACCGCTCCTCCTCCCTGGGAAGGCTCTCCGAGTTCCCCGTCTCCCCCACCTCCTCAGCCAGCCCAGCAGAGCCAGACACACACGCAGCCTCTGGGCGCGCCGTACAAAGTCTCATTTCCTAGTCCTCAGCTTGGGTTTTTTGCTTTGGGTTTTTCTATTCTTTTCTTTTTGCAAATTAAAGAAGGTGTTATTACTTACGTCTGAGTCCTCTCTGACACGACAGGTCCCATCTACAACATCCAGCTACACACTTTGCCTCTAGAAGCCCCCGAAAGGAACCAGGGCTCCCTGGAGGAGAAAGGCTGAATCCAGGGCTGGGACCCCCCCTCGAGGCAGCAGGAAGCTGTCAGGACCACCAGTGTCAGGGCAAAAGGCTGAGACGAACCTACAGAGGCTCCCACTGCAACCTATCTGAGCACCACAACCTGCCAGGGACCAAATGTCCCACATGCTTAAGTCCCTGAGTTCAGAGATGTGGAAAAAAATTAACTGGTCACCAATGGACGATGCCAACACACTCTTTTGGAAACCTAGATACAACAGGAATGCATCACGCCTTCAAGCTGCCTTTCTGTGCAGGTCTCTGTACAGGCCACGGAGCGGAGGCGGGCGGGCTGCCTTATAAAACCATCCTGCCCACCGATGCAGGAACCAGGGAGCATGCGGGTTGCAGTGCACAGCACTGACCAAGTTCCGCATCTGGGCACCCACCACCCTTGGCTGTGCCACCACAAGACCCGGGTGCACTCTGTGTGCCAGGCGGGGGGGGTGCAGCCCGCCTCCTCCGAAGGGGTCCTGCCCAGAAAAGCAAGCCACAATCTGGCCCTCCGCCAACTGGAACCCCAGCTCAAGGAACACAGAGGACAGAGGAATGTGTTCAACTCTACCACTGGGACATGCTGACAAGACAGGACCCTGGGAAAGTCTACAGGGCAAAACCCAGTGTCTTCAACCACTAAGTCACAAAGGAGAATGAGCACATGGCGGGGGGTGGGGGTAGGTCACGAGGCTGGAGGAGCTGGTAGTCCCGCGGGGGTGCCCAGGTCATGTTAACTCATGTCCAACTGCCCCTGGGGGAACAATCAGCAACATGAGACAGGACAAGACCTGGGTTCTTCAAGAAATAAATGAGGAAGGAAGCAGCACAACGGAGGAGAAGGGACATCCCATCATTTCTGTGGATGCGCACATGTCCAAACTCACACTTTGAACACCTGCAATTTACTGTGTGTCCTACCTGTGTTTTTCAGAAGAGCCCTCACCTTTCAGAGCTACACGCTGGAATACGCACGGGGAGGCAGTGCCGCGGCCAGGATTCTCCTCACAGTGACTGCGGAGGGTGACAGGGCGACTCGCGGGATGAGCCGGGCCACGAGCTGGTGAATGGGTGAGGCTGGAAATGGGCTCGCAGGGACCAGTGCGCTATTCCGCCCGCTTTTCTGTACGTTTAAGATCCCCCACAATGAAAGGCGTGTTAAAAGTCACAGTATTTTCCTTCCTCATACCTGTCCTCACCCACGACAAAAACACTGCCGTGAAAAGTAAATGAATCAAGACACACAGTAAGTCTCTAAAATGAGGGTGTAAGATGTCGGGCTGGACCAACACTGAAGACAGACTTGGCTGACAAGTGGGACCGCGACCCGGACGCGGCCCTGGCGTCGCTGCCCGGGCCCCCACCGAGCGCCTGAGCCCCGTTCGGGGAGGCCGCGCCCTTCACGCCCCCCGCGCCCCGAGGTCGAGGCCAAAACCCCCACGGCAGCCGCCAGACTGCGCGCCCGCAGGCTCCGGGTGAGCTGCACACGGCCGGCAGGTGATTCCTGGGGGGTCGCCTCAGCTGCCACACGCACTCTTCATTTTGGAGTAAAACCACCCACCACTGCAGAGCATCAACACAGAGCAACAGTGATCTCGTCTGTCCAACGGGAACGAATGCCAGGCCTGGGCTGCTGAAGGAGGGAGGGGCGGGCAGGCAGGGGCTCACCCCCGACCCCACCCCTGTGCGGGGCTCCCCCGTCCAACTGCAGGGAGTGCTCCCTCCCAGCCTCCTCGGGAGACACCAGCCCAGGACGCCCCCCCCCATCGCTTCCAGTTCCACACAAGGTGCCTGCCCGCCCCGCCCAGAGCCCCATCCTGCCCCCTTCAAGATGCCCACTCCGACTGCTGTCCCATACTTCCAGGACGCAGCTCGAAACACCGAACATCCCAGCAGCACCTACACGAGTGTTTGCACTCAATTCTGACAAACCCATCTTTACGTTTTCTGGGAAAAACTGGCCTACTCACTTAGGAGCAAGGACTGGCTAAGGGACCGGAGCTTCATCTCCAGGGCCAACTCACTCGAGAGTCGCATTGCACGTTATTTCCCTTTTTATAACAAATGGGCATGGCGACCTAGACAGGGTCTTCACCACGTACAGAATATGGAAATTCTGAAATCACTTTTGCAGTTAAATATCAATTCTGAATATAAACTGCTCAAAATAATACAAATAAATAGTAATTTAAATATACATTAACAAGTGTCAACCAGACAGAAGTAAAGCAACGGAGGACTCGAGAAACACAATCAGCCAAGCAGGTCTGACAGACGCACACGGAGCACACCGCCCCACGACAGGGCACGCTTCCTTCAAGCGCACGTGGGACCTTCTCCAGGACAGGCCCCGTGCGAGGCCACAGATTATACCTCAAGACATCTGAAGAGCCAGACGTCACACAAAGCATCTTCTCTGACCACAAAGGAGTGAGTCAGAGATCAATAAAAGAAGGAAAACTGGAAAACTCACAAAGTTGTGGGAAGTAAATAACACGCTCTTCAACAACCAACAGAGCAAAGAAAAGAATTACAAGGGGAATCAGGAAACCCTTAGAAACAGACGACAATAAAAACACACCACACCAAAATGCACGGGATGCAGTGACAGCAGTGCCAAGGGGAAAATTTACAGCTACCAGTGCTTACATTAAAAAATAAGACAGATCTCACTCAACAACCTGACCCTACAACTGAAGGAAGCGGGGAAGAAGAACAAACACCAAAGCCAGCAGAAGGCAGGCAGGCACACGGATGGAAAAGCAGGCAAGATCAATGAACCCGAAAGTCGGTTCTCTGCAAAGACCAGCAGCAGGCAGATGGACTAAGAAAAAAAGAGAATATTCAAAAGTTAAAATTATAAATGAAAGTGGAGACATTACTACTGATTCAGCTGAAATGAAAAGGACTATAAGTACAACCCCCAAAGCTGGATAACCTAGGTGGCATGGACAAACTCCCAGAGACACGAAACCCGCCAGACTAAGCCACAGAGAAACAGAATTCTATCCGAACGGCCCAATCAGTAATCAGAAACCTCGCAACAAAGAAGAGTCCTGGACCCAGTGGCTTCGCTGGTGAATTCTACCAATCACGGACAAACAAACACCAGTTCTCCTCAGACTTTTCCAGAAAATCGAAGAACAGTAAACAAACACTCCCTCACTCACTCAATGGGGCCACTGCAGTCCTGACACCAAGGCCAGACGCCGACATTACAAGAAAAGGAAACTACAAACCAGCCCCCCTCACGGACACAGGTGCAGAAAGCCCTCAACAAAACACTAGCAAACTAAACACACTGAACACACTCAGCAGTGCACTACGAGGATTCACACGCCATGACCAGACGGGGCTTACTGCTGGAACGCAAAGATGACTCAACGTATGAAACTCAGTTGGCACAACAGATCAAAACCACAGGGGCATTTCAGGGGACGCGGAAAAGTCGTTTGACAAAATTCAACGCCTTTTCGTGATAGAAACATTTGACAAATTAGTAGTAGAAGGGCCACCCAACATAACAAAAGCCACAGACGAAAAACCAGCAGCAAAGCTTTTCCTCTGAAATGAGGAACACGGCGAGGATGCCCGCTTTCTTCAGCTCTATGCATTGTAGCACTGCAAGTTCCAGCCTGAACGACTGGGCAAGAAAAAGAAATAAGAGTCACCTAATTCGGAAAGAAAGAAGTAAACCTGTGTTTGCAGATGATAAGATCTTATGCAGAGAAAACCTTAAAGATTCCACCAAAAAAAGAGAAAACATTAGAATAAACAAACTCAGCAAGGCAGCAGGGCGCAAACATGAGACGCAGAAAGCAGCCGCGTTTCCATGCACTAACAACGAGCAACCTGAAGAGGGGATTCCAAACAATTCCACTCACAACAACATCTAAAAGAATAAAATACTTAGGGATTAACCGAGGTGGTGAAAGACTGGAAACCGTAAGACATTACTGGAAGAAACCAAAGAAGACATAAGCAAGGGAAACACACCCCAGGTTCATAGGTTGGAAGACTGAATATGAAGATGTCAGTACTGCTCTAAGCAATCTACAGATTCAATACGATCCCCATCAAAGCCCCAAAGGTGCTTTTTGCATAGACAGAACACCCCATTCTAAAATTCACATGGACTCTCAACGGCCCTGGAAGGGGCAAAACAATCTTGAGAAAAGGAGAACAAGGCCAGAAGACTCCCACTCCCTGATTTCAAAACTTACCACAAACCTACAGCGATCAGAGAGTGCGGCGCAGGCACACAGACAGACAGGCAGCCCAGAGAGCCCAGAAGTCAGCTCCCACATGTACGGGCAAGTGACTTTTCAGAAGGGTGCCCAGGCCATTCAAGAAGGAAAGGACTGTCTTTTCAACAAGTGGGGCTGGGAAACTGGATATCCGGGTGCAAAAGAAAGAAGCTGGGTCCTATCTGACAGCACATATAAAAACTAACTCAGAATGGATCAAGGACCTAAATGTAAGACTTAAAACTATATAACTCTTAGAAGAAAACACAGGGCAAGCGTTCACAACTCTGGACTTGGCAGTGGTTCACTGGATAAGACACTAAAAGCAGAGGTAATTAAAGAAAGTTAGAAAAATTGAGCTTCATGAAAATTTTCAAAATTTGTGCCTCCGACACTATCCACAGAGTACAAAGGCAACCTCAGAATGGGAGAAAATATTTGCAAATCATACATTACATACATACAAGATTAATATTCTGAATATATAGAGAACTCCAAAAACTCAATTATTAGAAAAAAACCAACCTGATTCAAAAATGGGCAAAAGACTTGAACAAACGTTTCAGCAGAGAAGATAAACCAACGGCCAATAAGCACATGAAAAGATGCTCAACTCACTCATCACCAGGGAGCTGCAGAGCAAAACTATCATGAGAGACCACCTCACACCCATCAGGATGGCTGCTGTCAAGAGAACAGAAAGTAAGAAGTCTGGGTGAGGATGCAGAGAAACAGGAACCCCTGGGCACCTCTGGTAAGAAGGTCAAACGGCACAGCCGCTGTGGCAAATGGTATGGCGGATCATCAAAAAATTAAAACAGAATTACCATATGATCCAGCAATTCCACTTCTGGGTATCTACCCAAAAGAACCAAAAGCAAGGTCTCGAAGAGACATTTATATACCCATGTTCACGGCAGCATCGTTCACAAGAGCTTAAAACTTGGAAGCAACCCAAGTGTCCATCCGTAGAAAAACACATGAGCAAAATGTGGTCCAGACATACAGTAGAATGTTATCCAGCCTTAAAACAGAAGGAAATCCTGTTACTCGCACAGATGAACCTTGAGGATATCATGACCAATGAAATAAGTCAGATACAAAAAGACAAATACTGTGCGACTCCACTTACATTCAGTCCCTGGAGAAGCCACATTCGCAGACACCGAGAGCAGACGGCGGTGTCGGGGCGGAAGGAGGGGACTCGGGCACTCGGTGTTTCACGGCAAAGGCTTCCGCTTCACCAGGTGGAAGGGGCTACAGGGGCGGACAAACGTGTAGACTACCACTGAACTGCGCGCTTAAAATGGTCAAGACGGCAAACTTCATGTTACATGTATTTTACCACAATTTTTAAAATTAGAAAAAATTACATCAGCAAGTAGGACAAATAAGAAACAAACAGCTGCGCACGGAGCTCAGTGTGCTGGTGCCAAACTCGCCGTCACTGGCCGGAGAGGACAAGCTCCCCCGGCCCCAAACCCACACGACACCCCAGCCTCGGCGGTGCTTCGCCCCCTGCCAGGTGAAGGAAAGCAGCATCAACGTTCCAGCTCGCTCCCACCAGCAAGGGCGAGGTGGCCGAGGGAGACCAGGACCGCAGAGCTACGAGGGCAGCCGCCCAGGGGGCGAGGCGGGTTGGGAAACTGAGGGAGGGGATGGGGAAGAACCAGCCAGGAAACCCACAGAGAGAAGACGCCACGAGGCCTGGTCCCGCCCCCTCCCCAGGGAGCAGGCGCCCCACGGGCACTGCAGGTGAGACCTGCTGAGGGCCTCGGCCCAGAGGCAGGCGACACTGTCCGGACACCTTCTCAAGCCACCGGACGCATAAAACTGGGTTTCTGTCAGACACAAGTCAGAAACAGAAGCCACCACACTCCCCCAACCCCCTGCACCCCTCAACAGCACAGTCCATCCGCCAGGCTCTCACTGCCCCGCAGCTCTTAAAGTCAAGGCCAAACCCTTCCCAGAAACAGACAAGTGCGCACACGGCGACGGCAGCACAGCAGCGGTGGGCACAAGGCCAGCCAGCGACGGAACAAACGCAAGGCACTGCCACTCCCCCACAGGGCTCTTCTTCCCTGGGAGCAGCCTGGCAGGGTCCAATCCGGCCTCATCCCCAGAGGGGCCTGTCAGATCCCAGAAAGACGGGACAGAGATGCTTAAACGTTACTGGAGCACACAGCTGTTCCCCGCAGTGCCCACCAAGAACGTGGAATCACGTCACTTGTGAGTGTGAAAACCACTGGTATCAGGAGGAATTGAAGAACCGAGGGATGGGACGGGCACATTTAATGGGGAAAGTGAAACCGAGGCGGCTGGGTGATGGGACTACACCCTGGGGCAAAGCCGGCTGGAGAGAAGGGCGGACAGAGCTCCCCGAGAAAGGCGGGAGGCCCGGGCCCACCAGTCCTGGGGCATCCTGGAGGCCGCACCCAACTCCGCACCACAGTGCCACCATGGATGGACGGCGCTTCCTGGCCACAATGTCTTTGTGGTCACCGATTTTTCAGTGTTTTTGTCTTGAGACCCCTGCTTAGCCAAGGGAGCCCACCTGCCACCTAGAGGCCTCAAGATCCTTGTCTTACTCGGGGAAAGAGCCCAGCTTCTTGTTTTTTTAAAAAAAAAAAGTTGAGTCTGTTTCCAAAGTCAGATTTGAGAGTCGCACTGCAGAACCCCGAGCCACGCTGGAAGCACTCTAACCTGCAGAGGCCCCAGGCCACAGGTGGCTCGGAGCACTCGCAGCGCGGCTTCCGCGGAGGCTGGCGCTGCAGTGCTGACTGGCTGAATTCCTCCACTTACGCGGACCAGGTGGTGGGTGGCGTCCACCCCAGACAGGGTGCTCTAGGGCCCCACTGGGCGGGGACACCCGAGGGGCTCTAGGAAGCTCCACGGGGCCCCCCCAAACGGAGGGAGGCAGCCACAGGCAGAGCAGGCAGAGCCGGCCTTCCACAGACCAACCGCGGGCCCAAGCACACGTCAGGCCAAACCCACTCTCTATTCTTATTTCTAAAACCACCTGGTTCTCCTGACTTGCACTCACTGAAATGTGTGTCTTGCCAATTGCTGAGGAAAGGTCCGGCCTTCGCATTCCTGTAACTGTAAATGCCTAGCGGGCGAACCAAATGAACACCCCCAACTCCATCCGCAACAAAGCCTTCTGCACGCCTTCTAGGTGCCTGCCCCGCAGGGCAGCCGTTCACACGCGTGTCCCGGTGGCCGGGGGTGGGGGCGAGAGTGGCCTCTGGGACACTGGTTCCTTAGACTCGAGGGAAATCTGGTCCCGTCCAGTCGCGCCTGAGGCCCCATCAGAGCCGCTCTGAGGGCAGAACAGGCAGGTGTGCGTTTTCTGTCTATGCAGCTTTACCGGGCTCGGCCGTCTGCAGGGCTGCCTGATGCCGCAGGGGCCTGAAAGGGTCCTCACTGAGGGCTGCGTGTCGGCGTGGGCCCCCAGGAGGCCCAGCCTGAGAAGCCCCCTGCCCCATCCTCGCCAGCGAGCAGGCTTACCTGTCAGCATGCGAACTGGCCGGTTTGGCTTGGGGTTCAGGCAAGAAACTGAGTTTCCAGACTTGAGGTAGGTAAATGAACCTCTCCTGCTATGTAAACAGCCACACTAGTCGCCCACTGTTTACCATTCCCCACCCCGACAGGGCGGCCCAGAAGGGCAGGCACAGGGCAAACCAGCCCGGCCACGGGAGTGGCCGCTGGAGCCACACTTCCTTCTGGGGCTCCGCAAGCAGGAGCCTAGAGCCCCGTCCCAGACCCCGACCCCATCCACAACACGGTCCCTCGGGTCCCGTGCCTCCCCTGCACCACAGTGCCCACGACGCAACGGTGAGACCCAAAACACACCCCGTGCTGGGAGGAGCTCTGGAATCCAGCGGAGGGCCGAGGCGAAGGGATGCTCTTCTGGGCAAACACGTTTGTTTGCATCACCCTCCTCTTTCTGTAACAGGGAGTAAAGTGGAGCAGTTTAAATGCAGTCCGAGGGTAGGGGGAGAAAGTTCTAGATCAGGAGGGTGGGCTCCGTCCACACTCCACAGGGCCGTGTTCCCAGAAAACCACAGAGCGGCAGCCATGCCAGAGAAATCAGACATCCATGGGCCCCTCCCTGCGGCATGTCCATCTCTGACAAGTAGGACCAAGGGCTGGGACGGTGTGGCAGCTGGAGAACCCGGGCGGCCCCGCCGATGACGGCACATGCATGGTGGGGCAGGATGCTTCAGATGCCGTCTCCACTGCGCCGCATCCAGGCTGACGTCCTCGCCCCTTCTCCTGCTTGCCTCCTCCCCACCGCCTCTTGCCCAAGTGCCACCTGCCCAGGCTCCTAACCGGTTTTACCTGCTGACAAATTCATCATGCCGGCGTCACTCCCAGCCACACTTCCTGAGCACTAAGGAGTGTGGGTGCTTAAACCAAGGTCAGGGAAATCCACACATTTCTACACCATAACCCTAAAAAGGAGAAAATTGCAAAACCCTATTGCTGTTCATTTTTGTCCTCAGGAAGATGACTCAGACTCTTCGTTCAGTTCTCTACCAGGGGTCCTTGATCCAAAATAGGTTACAACCCACAGTGGGTCCCAAGCTCCGGCAAGCACACCAGCCACATGGGACTCATGGGAGCGCACTGCACACAGCCCGGGGCCCCCAGGAGCCTGGGTCCAGGAGACCTGGGGCCAGGCCTCAAACCCACACTTTCTACAAAGTTCCACAGGTACTTCTGGTGAGAAGCCAGGTTCAAACACCCTAACACCCAGAGATACCTCAGTGTTCAGCCCAAAGTGCACCAGCTCAGACACAGACCCTAAGGCTGTGCCGGGAGCTGCACGGGCCCGGGAGACCCCCGACCTCCTCCCTCCCGGAGACCTGCCCACTCCCGCCAGTGCTGGGACGTCCCCGTGGTCAGGGTCTCTCGGGAACAGGGGCACTTGGTGCCTGACCTGTCTGCATCAGGACAAGACGGCTCTGGTCCTA